ACCACCAGAGAATAACAGAATCTGCAGCTACCTTGTACTTTACAGAGGTTTATAGTGTCCATTTGTTTTTTATATTTCTGGAAATAACTTTTACATTTATAGGATTGTTTGTTTCTTTCCCATGTTTGTGTTAATACAGGCAGCATGTATCTGTTTTCGCTTACTATATGTACAGTAATAGCAGTTTGTTTCAATAACACTAATAATTCACAAGTGTTGACTTTGTACCTATCCCATGTTCAGAACAACATAGTCATTTACAGCCAGTGTACCTAAATCATACAACACAACTGTTTGTACATTTAAAAAACAAAATGCACAGACTTGAATTAAGTGTGAATTCCATGGATTACGCACTCAGGTATACGTATGTATGAGTTCCGTCATATACTGACAGGTTGTACCTTTTATACTGAATAGCAAGCTAATCAGAGAGAAGCATCAATAACATCTCTCAAATGTTATTAGGCTATTGCCTCATATGACATCTGATTCATTTCATTTGTTCTTCACGTCCCAAAGAAACAGTTATTGCATGTATTGCACAGTAAATACANGATGACACACAAATATACAAATCACTTTCATCAGGTGATTATGGACCTGTAGAATGCATGTTTCACTGTACTGAACAAATAAATGACTGGATGTGTCAAACTTTTGTCAAACTCAACAGAGATAAGACAGACATAATTGTCTTTGGACCACTGCAAGAAAGAGATTGTAAACTCTCACCTCAAATTCCTCTCTCTTATTACTGCGAGTCAAGCAAGAAACCTTGGTGTTATCCTGGACTCAGATTTAAATTTTCACAGCCACATCAAATGTGTAATGTCATCTGCCTACTGCCATTTAAAAAACATTGCTAGAGTCAGAGTAATAAGGTCAAAGCAAGACCTTGAAAGGCTAACCCACGCCTTTATTTCCAGTAAATTAGATTACTGCAATTGTCTATTTGTAGGACATTCAAAAGAAGCTGTTTGGCAAGTTCAGCTTTTTCAGAATGCTACTGCTATGGTCCTGACAAAAACTAGGAAATAACCACATTACTCCAGTTCTAAAATCCTTACACTGGTAATCTTATCTAAGGCTGGTGCACTGACCATCCCAAATGCATTACAAACCAGGAATAACCTCCCAAATGATGTTAGTCAAGCCCCGACTCTGACCACTTTTAAGTCAAAGCTAAAAACATTCCTATTTTACACTGCCTAGTCCACCCTGTAATGACTGCAACCTTATTTAAAAACTAAATTTTAAATCATTTTAAATAATCTCTATATCTTTGCACCTCTTGTCTGAACTTTTGCTATTTTTAATGATTTTTTCTATTGTAAATCAATTAGTAATTGAAGAAAATTGAAGAAATTGAAGAAAACGTGGAATGTTTACTTGTACCACGCGGGGAAACAGCAGACGGAGTAACCACTGTTAGCACTGGGCTAACGGAAGACCACCAACACAGCTTACCAGAGGCCGATCCAACGCACTAGGCCCAGTATTTGGGCCTGCGTCGGTAAGTCTCGCTGACCAACTCTGACCTGTGTGTACGGCCTTATAATCAAATCTACTCTCCGCCGTGGGCTCCCTCTGTGGAGCCCTCACGAGTAAGTCTCACCCTGTGCTACTGTCTCTGTTTACCTCACCAGCCTACAGCTACCACCGCAACTATGACCCTTCACCTGTTTTGACTCCATTACTGGCCACAGTTGTGTTTATTTCTTCCCAGAAAACCTCCACCGACCCCACTGTGACATGCCTCCACTCACCTCGCCTGGTTGTGACAGCTGCCACCAGCTGAGCCAGTTGTCCAATATGTTTTCCATCCTGGATGAGGATCATTTTCCGCCACTTAAAAATGACAACTCTACTCCGCCATCATAGCCGGCTTTCTCCATTCAATCACACAATCAAAAGCTCCTGAAAGAGGCAGTGCCCAAACGCTCTGGGGTTCCTCCCTGCTCGGAGCCAGTGTCGGGGAATCCCTCTCCTGGCCCAACTGCTGCTGTCCCCTCCGCCAACCTGGTCCATCCTCACTCCACGTCCCCTTCTCACAGTGCTGACTCAGACTCCCCTCTCCCAGGCAATGGGAACCAACAGTCGTCACCTCCTCGTCCACTCTTCTCCCCAGCCACATTAATAGTTGGAGACTCAATAATCAGAAATGTTCGCTTTTTCAACGCTGCCACACACTGTTTCCCTGGGTCCACAGTTCCCGTCATACTCAGAAAACTCCCGGCGCTGCTGTGCTCTCTTCCATCCTCCGTAAGACGAGCGGTTGTTCATGTTGGCTCCAATGACACCGCTCGTAGACAGTCTGAACTGACAAAAAAGAAGGTTTTTCAAGGATTCTCAGCCACAATACCTGGTTACAGTCCACCTGCTTCACTCATAATATTAACTTCATTGACAATTTTAATCTTTTCTGGAACCGCTCCCTCCTTCTCAGAGCTGACGGCGTCCATCCAAACGGGCACGGTAGCCGCATGCTAACGGCTAACGTGCAACAAGCCGTCCAGACTGCTACACGTGAACGACTGTTTACCTGCCACACCCCCACCACTCACTCTTCTCCTCCTCCCAAAGCTCCACTGGCACCACACTGCTCATTTTTGCCCTCTAGCTCCCCTCCTCGGCCTCACCAGTCATTACAACTACAACCTGTTATTTCTCTCATCCATACCATCATCAGATGCAGGCGCCCCCCTCCACCCAGCACAAGACATATTGATCTGGTCAATCTCCACTTCCCAGGTCCTTACAGTCAAACACAAATTGGCTATATTCAAC